TACACTTTTATTTTTATTTTATTGATTTTTTACAGAGAGGAAGGGAGAGGGATAGAGAGTTAGAAACATCCATGAGAGAGAAACATGAATTAGCTGCCTCCTGCACACTCCCTACTGGGGATGTGCCCGAAACCAAGGTACATGCCCTTGACCGGAATTGAACCTGGGACCCTTGAGTCCACAGGCTGATGCTCTATCCACTGAGCCAAACTGGTTAGGGCCATTTTACACTTTAACCAAATGTCTGTGTCGCTGACAATCTCAACACTGCTGAAAGAGAAGTTAGGGTGCTTCACTGGGCTGGAAAAAGTTTAGGTAAATCAGAAAGAAGGTCTAATTAAGAAAGTTTATTCTATGTATATAAAAGGCTAAGTTGACTCGTGCATGCGCGATACATATAAAGCTCTTGCTGGTGCCATTCATATGCTTGTGTTTCGATCTGTCATTGTTGATCATGAATTTGGTTGATACTTCTATTATAGAGAAAGGGTGAATAGCGATATTAAAATATTTCTTCTAATTAATTTCCTTTCACTGTGCACGAATTCATGCAATGGGCCACTAGTAGTTATATAAATAAACAAACTATTTCTGTTAGAAGGAATTTTTAGAGATAAAATCACTTAGAAAAGTTTGAAAGAAAAGTGGACTCCCATGAGACTTAGAAAAACTAGCTTTTTAAATGAAATGCTTTAAAGAAAAATAAATGATCAAGGTAGCTAAGTTTATATTAGTCTCTTGACTGTACAAAGATGGCACCATTTTTACATGACTATTACATTCAAAAGATAACATTTCCTTTTGGAGTAACAATTGTGAATATACCTAATGCCACTGAATTGTTCACTTAAAAATGATAGATTTTTTTATGAGTGAGGGGTGGAGGGGCATTGAGGGAATAAGGACACATATGTAATACCTTAATCAATAAAGAAAAAAATTTAAAAAATAAGCAACAAAAAAATGATAGGTTTTATTTTATGTGTATTTTCTACAACAATAACAAACAAGATTATACCATACTTTTGTTACAGAGAACCGGAATAAATCAAGCAATGCTCAGAGAGTTTGGAGTCACACTTTATTCACCTCAGTGGGCTTAGAGAAAATGAATTCAAATTCTAAGCAGAGCTACAAGCAGAACTTCCCTTTTTATGAAAGAGCCAGCCCTATGTGCGCTTAGTTCGCTGGTGGCCTTGAAAACTACACAGTTCTATCCAATTAAAAAATACACCTGGTATGGCATTGAGAGTATGGGCGTATCTAGTCTCTGGCCTACAAGATCAGACAGCTAAGTTTATCTTCCTCATTATTCAAGCAGGCTAACGCAGGCTAGAAAGGAAAGTTATTTTTTAGAATAAGAGGCCGTCTAAAGAATAGCAGAGAATTCCAAACAGTAGTTTTACAAAATAGGGGTTAGCTTTCTCACTTTCGGATAGAAATTGCAGAAGTCAGGAAGGGAAATGGTTTGGAGACGGAATCCAGACTTGTGAGAAATATATTTTATTATTTTTAGACATTGTGGAAATGTTATTTTTGTTCTGTCTTGGGATGCTGTTAATTTTTGAAAAGGTTAAATTATGACTCAAATTGAAAATGATCATGAAATATTTTTCAGCACAATGAACTGCTAAGATTATGAAAATTGTTGAAGGAGGTAAGTGTATTCAATATAATAAAAACAAAATGTAGTATGTTAAATTTCATACATACATAGACAATGAATGCTATGATATCATTGCTGGGTTAAATACAAAACTGGTTAATATCATAAGGGCAATAAATTTTGGACATTGAGGTTATCTGTTCTACTAAACAGAAATCATTTCCATGTCAGACAAAATATCTACAAGTTAGAATCAGCCTCATAGAATTTAAAACTTGTTCAATCAATAGAAAGTGAAGCTCAGCCCTGCACTGAAATGATGTCCAGTAACCGATGTTTTCTTTACACAAGTTTTGTATAATTTTTCTGACAGTGCATCGTGCTCCCCCCTTCTAATATGCAAGATTTATGGGAGCAATTTTCAAACTTCATCTCATGGCACACATAAACTAATCACTAAAAGTTTGTGGCACACCAAAAAAACCTATTTTTTGCCAGTTTGACAAAAAACAACAACAAACAGTTATAATTGTGATTCATTCACACAGGACAGCTATTGTTGTGTTGGCTGATGTAATTTTTTTATTTGACAATCTAAGGGAAAGAGGTCAGTGCCCCTCACTAAAAAGTCAGCTATTGCATGTTTTAAAAATTCTTGCAGCACACTGGTTGAAAATCACTGGTTTATGGAAATAGGGCAAAATGGCAGTTTTGCCTTCCTTCACAAACCATAAGTGTTAAAAGGGATCATCCTGATGGTGGAAATTGGACTTTGAATGTTTCTTTTGCCTTGCAATACTTTTTAAGACAGATCTTGTGTGTGTTTTCACATATCACCCTGAGTTTTAGAAATCAGCTAAGTCACTTTGTCTCTAAACTCCTCATCCAGTGTTCCTCGCCATCCCTGGGCTCCCATAGAACAAGAACTAGGCCTCGGGCTTGAAGCTTTGGCTCCAAATCCAGCCTTCCTCTAGCTATCTTCACCGTCCTCAGGAGCTTCAGGTTCCATAGCCAGCAGCTCAATCCCAGAAGCAGAAGCTTGTGCTCTCCTGTACTGCAGGGGGCCGCGGCAGACAGGGACTGCGTGGTCACATGGGCTGACGGTGGATCATGTGACCGCGCTCGCCTTTGGGCAGGCCTAGAGGTGTATCCTACCTCCTACCGAAAAGAGTCAGGAACCCATGAGAATAGGAGTTCACTTTTTGTATAATAAGAATTATATGTCACGGGGGTAGGGTGGCATCAGGATTTTAGAGATGCTTAGGTGGGGCATAGCCAAAAAAAGGTTGGGAACCACTGGACTACATCCTGGTAGAGAAAGTGCCTGAGACCCTCCTGCCTTCTGAACACCTGTCTCCTTACCCCCAGGCTCCCTTCCCAGTGTTGATTCTGTGTTTCTATGTGTGGGTGAGGAAGGTGGACACATGGAGGGAGTTAGCTAAGGGGAGCCTAGAGTTTGGAAACCGTGAAGTGACATTTCATGAACATGCAACTCATATAAACCAGTAGTCCTGGCTCTGGAAAAGCAGGTGTGAGGATAGGAACCCTGAGCTACACCGCTGTCCTCAATCCTATTTGCCACTCACTCTATTTTTTGTCTTTTCCAGAGGATGGGGATTGCTGAGACCAGCTCAGAATTGAGAGAGGGTGGGAGAGAAGAAGGGGGTGGGGAATATATCTGCCTTATGCTCCAAGGCTCCAGCTCCCTGGAGGAATGAATCCCAATGTGAACAACTCTAGAGAAGGGGGTTTGGAGACAGATTCAGGAGGAGGGAACCTAGATGCTGAGACCATTGGCAGAGAATTTCTCTTTGGGATACTGCCAAGCTTTAAACTCCCAAGAGAATATCTGGATCTCAGCCCTGGGCAGCATCTCCCTCCCATCTGGGAATACGAAAGTGGCTATTCCATTTGAGGTTCCCTTTCTTTTTAGTCCTGGGCTTCAGAGTACGATCTTTCTGGGAAACAGTTGCAGAAACTGCTTTGTGGATGGTCCCATAGGTTCCCCTCTACAGATGCTTTGCTCTCTTCCATGTGTTTTGCTCTCTGCCCAGTTTTTAGGACTTGTTCCTTTGGTCTCATCCTAGGTAGCAGCCCTTGATAAGTTCTTGTCTTCTTTCTAACAGAATATTACCAAATCTGAGGGGGTCATGAGGACCCCTGGTGCCCCTAGGCTACATACCAAGGCAGTTTAGGAACGTGTCACTAGGAAATAATTAATTTCCCTAAGGCTACTCATATCCTTATTTTTATTCTCAGTATAGAGTTGAAACTGCTGTAATACTACTTCAGGCCCCCATGTTTACATTTAAAAGCTAGGATTGAGCAGTGGACTTGTGGGGTAAAATTACAGAGATTGAGGCCTAGGATTGACTCCTCCTCTCTTATCCCTGCCTCCTTTGTTATTCTCTTTCCTCCACTTTCCAGCAATATAGTAAGATAAGTATTGGGGCCAATTTTCAGATTACGGTCTTTCGGCTTAAGCTCTGTTGTCTCTGGTCTATGTGTGTGTGGTTATAGAGTTTGACAAAAGAGACTACCTCAAACATAGTGTGGTATGGAAAGAGTATATCTAAACTTGGTCCCTGGTTGCTAGCACAGACCCTCAAAAAACCTTAGGGAATTCTTGAATGATAGGAGTGTCTTTGTTTTGCCAATGAACTGACTTATGGTGGGCCCTTAGATAGCTTTAGGATGTGGGCTGGTCACCTATTAGGAGCAACCACATGATTAGAGTTAGAACCTTAGACCACAGAGGGAAGGAGGGCTGGATTTGGGGCTCAATCGGGTGGCCATTGATTTAATCATGCATATATAAAGAATCCACAATGAAAACTCAGGGCTTTGTGGAGCTTCCTGGTTGGTAAACACAGTGATATCCAGGGAGGGTGATTTGCCCTGAACCTATGGGAAGAGGGCATGGAAGCTATGTGTCTAAGATCCTTCCAGACCTTGTCCTGTGTGTAGCCTTTATAATAAAACTATAATGTGGAATATGGTACTTTTAGTAATTTGTTTTTCTAGTAAATTATCAAACCTGAGAGGGTCATGGGAACTCCTGAATCAGAAGCATGGGTTATTGTCCCCAAGACTTGTAACTGGCATCTTACCTGAAATGGGGGCAGTATTAAGGACTGCCTTAAATCTGTGGAGTCTAATGCTAACTCCAGGTAGTTGGTGCCAAAGAATTGATGTCATTCTCTTAGCAGCCACCGCTGGATTAATATCTGTAAACCTACCTCTGATTCTATGCATCATACATAAATCAGTTAAAATGAAGGAGGCAGAGCCCAGCAGTATATTATAGGGCGGGGGCAGCATATGTTTTTGTGACACATGCCTGCACTTAGATGATTTTTAAAGTTCTGTATAATTTTTTTTTCTTATCAGAACTCTCTCAGCCTAGAATTCCTGTTGGGGTCATGCGCTTAAATTTTTGGGAGCTTCACATTGTGGTCTTGCTCAATACCTCTTAGTCCCACTTTCATGGGAAGCAGATACTTAAGCAATTCACACCTGTGGAAATTTTTAGTCTCAGCCAAAGGGCAGGGTAAGGTGTGTGTGTGTGTGTGTGTGTGTGTGTGTCCAAGAATGAAGATGATTATATTCTGATCACTCCTTTTTTTCTGGGGTATAGTTAAAGTAAAAAGCTCACCACTCACATGACCCTTTTGTTTCTGCTCCCTTCCTGGATAAATATTACTTGGATCTCATGTAATAAGATAATAAGGGTCCGTTCAAATGTCATTTGAGCCCTGGCCGATTTTGCGCATTGGTTAGAGTGTTGTCCTGTATACCGAAAGGTCACAGGTTCGATTCTGGTCAGGGCACATACCCAGGTTCTGGGTTAAGTCCCTGGTTGTGGCACTTATGTGAGGTAACTGATCGATATTTTTCTCTCATTTTGCTGTCTCTCTCTCTCTTTCTCCTTCATTCTTTGTCTCTCTGTAGAATCAATGAAAAACATATCCCTGGGTGAGGATTTAAAAAAAAATGTCAGTTGACCCACCTGGAGACAAAATTAGAGTGGATTTGCCATCTCTCCAATCATAAATGAAAGAAAGGTATTTTCTTATAGCACAGCTGGACTCAGCACCCACTGACACTCTCTGTCCCCAGTTTCAAAAGAGCAACCTTCAATGGGATCTCATTTATAAAATATTACCAGGTTCTCTGTGCAGGGTTTCAAGGCCCTCACCTTTCCATACAATTCCACCTTTCCATCTCCATCTCCCAACACTTTCTTCCAAGTCAGAGTCAGGACTAGAATAAGGTAAGGACACAGTCTGAGGAGGCCCTCACTCTCAGGTGCCTTACCCTAATCCAAACCCTGCTCCACTTTGCCTGCACTCAAGCCACATTGGGCTGTTATTTCCCAACCCAATTGTACTCTGTGCTTTACTACTTCTGTGCCTTTCCCCACTGTTCACTCAATCATCACTACTCTCACAATCCTTTCTCTGCCTAGGGAAACATATTCATCCTTTCTGAAGTCTTTCTGATACCCTCACCTTTACTGTTTTCCCCTTGGTAGGAAGTAACTCCTCTGCACAGGTTTTTATTTGCATTGGTTTCTTTATGCTATGTACTAGAGTCTTTTTTAATGAATAAGATGGAATTTGGATAGAAGTAACATAGAGGAAGAAACTTGGACTCTGGAAGTGTGAATCAAACCCATCTGTCTGACTGCAACACTTGAGCCTTTTGTTACTTAAAATAGTAACTAGAGGCCCAGTGCACAAAAATTTGTGCAATGGCGGGGTGGTGGTGGGGGGAATGTGTCCCTCAGCCCGACCTGTGCCCTCTCACAGTCTGGGACCCCTCAGGAGATAACCACCTGCTGGATTAGGCCCACTCCCCGGGTGGCAGATGGCAGGCCCGATCCTGCGGTGCCTGCCCTTTCCCAGGTCGCAAATGGCAGGCCTGGATCCCACAGTGGGTCGCGCCGCCCCAGGTCGCACACAGCAGGCCTGGATGGCGGCTGGGCAGGTGT